AGCCACCTCCTCCCCTCCACCAGCCCTGCTTCCCACTGTCCCCACCCCCCTCCTCCTGGCTGGTTCCCCGCCCCCATCTGAGATCAAGTGTGTACGGTAATTTTTTTTTAACTCATCTGATAACCCTGTGGGGACCTGGCTTTTCATTATGTTGCTTTTTTGGAATTGTGTCAGGTAAGTTGAGTATGGGTGTAAAATAAGGGGCAGCGAGCAAGCCTTTTCCCGGCAGAACGAGTGAAAAACAGGTCAAGAATTTTTGTGGGGAAAGTGGTTTTACAAAAAGCACAATATGAAGAGTATTTCTGTGGTAGGTTTCTCCCCCTAAACATTGCTTCCTTTTGCCTGCCCTCTCCTTTGGCAAAATATAAAAAGGAGCAGAAAAAAGTTTTTAAATGTTTTTTTTAAATAGTGTGGGAAATGTCATTTTTAAGACCATTTTTAACTCAATGAGTTTGGTTCCCAAGGTTTATAAACAGTGTTTCAGGACTCCGTTCCACGCCTACAGCCAGAGTTGCACAACCTCTTCATCTCTCTCTCTCCTTCGCCCCCTTTTGTACAATCAGAAAAACCACCAATCATCTTTTACTAAAAATTTGGATAAAAAGTGCTACATTTGTAGCATAAAATAAAAGTCTTTGCAATTAAAAGCAAAACAATTATTTTGCTGTGGGGACATCAAATTTGACCATTACAAAGACTTTGCTTTTCAGAAATAATGATTTGATTATCTCCATTAACTGGAATAGAACCAGCTGGAATTTTTCAAATGAAATGTTGCCTATTTACATTGCTTTATGCTTAGATGGGACCACAGGAGAAATACACAGCCCGTGCTAGCAATTCCACATCGTTAAATCAATGCAGAGACTTCCAGAGGTGACGGTCTCTGTTAAATTACAGCGCTCAGAAAACATGTCGGAATGTAAACACGTCAAGCTTTTGAATTTCAAATCCCTTCTTCAAAAAGTAGTTTAGATAGAATATGCTTAGTGGTTCCATTATCTTCAAATGGAGTCTCGCGAGCTGCCGGTGAGTTTCCACTGGGGCGAAGAGTTGAAGAATCAGTTTCTCTCTTTTCAAGACCATTCTGCCGAAAGGGGGAGGCTGAATTTCCTAAGGGGCTTAGTCTGAGCAGCACCACAGCGCGTTTTTAAAACAAGTCCCACTGACCCGCAGTCCCACAAGCAGTTTGAGACGCTCCCAGCACAGACTCAATGGTTCCCTGCACCTCCAGACCAGCCTGCCAGAGAGGCTGTTCGGGTGGGGGAATACACTGCATTTTGCCCACCCAGCAGAGAGCCCGCAGGGCAAAATTCTCCTGCACTTTAACAGACAAGAGGGGAAACCTCCATAATTCGCATGGTGTGCACAGGCCTTGTCCAGACAGGGGCTCTTGTCTAGCTTCTCTACGGAGACCGTTCTTGTCCTGAAGCATTTACACTAGCAAGCCGGGCTGACTTAGCGACGACTCTCTGGGACGTGAAAACCTCCCGCCCCCATCGAGCTACCGAAGCCCCCGGGGGGACAGGGCTGGAAGAAAGGATCCATCCTGCTGCCTCTCAGAACGGCCTCCCTGGCGGAGCTGAGTGAAGCGGGCTGGGGAAGGCGAGAGGCCGAGTGGAGCAGGCTGCGGGGTTGCTCCAACTTCCGCCGCCATGGCGAGGGGCCGACCTCTGTTGCTGCCCTGCACCAGGCCCCCCAGCAACCTCCTCCAGCTCATGTTGCTCTGAGGAGGGGGCTGTGGCCAATGGGGCAGAACAGAGGGGGTGGGTTTTGGAAGCCAGATGCCTGTGAACGCAGTTGGCAGAACTTACGCATTCAGCTGCCACAGGGGAAGTTAGTTCTAGGCATGTCAAGTAATCTCAGGCACCAGCTGAGGCAATGCATGGGCTGCAAATATTCCTAAAGCCGTTCTGGACAAAGTCCATCTTCGACTTGGTGCTACCAGCCCAGGAAGCTCCCCCTCCTGTAGAACTAGAGGGTGAAGGTAAGTGACCGATTCCTCAGTGGTGCTACCACTACAAGCTGATCGGTCCTTGCCAGGTTTCCTAACTCCGGGTAAATCCCTTTGGGCTGAATCCTCCGATTCAGACCAGCAGCCCTCGGGTGTTGGCTGCACCCATGGGGGCTCTTGAAAGCCCCAGCTCCCTTGTGCTGCTTGCAGCAGGAAATAAACCTTCTCTCCTGGAACGTAAGGGGGGTGTTTTCCCATATCCAGGCAGCCCCAACATCATTTCAGACCAACTTCTGCGTCCTAGAGCTAGGACTAAACCTGCCTCAGTCTAAAATCAAACATTACTTGCTCAGTCTCCATCGCACCCTTCTCCACGCGGGGACGCCTGATTTGCCAGGCTCCTCCTCTCTTACTGGTCCTGCTGCAGGGCTTTTGGAAAATGCAAGGCTTCCTGGAGCCCTAATGCTTTCACTGTTCACACTCTGGCACAGGATAACTCTCAAATTCGATTCCTCTTAGAAGGTGTTTATTGCAACCAAACGTGTGTGACACAGCTAGGTTGCTGGTTTCCAGGAGTAGCAACCCTGGCTGGTCCTTCTGGAGAGGACACGCTACCTCACAAAGGGATATGAATGTTGAGAGTCACGCCATCAGACGCAAGAATTTCCTTTGCCCATCCAGGTTTGGGGCGGTGAGCAATTAATCCCTTTGCCTCACCCTACAATGTCACCACTTTGCACTCAAAACAGACCCTGAGCAGTGTGGAGAATTGAAGAGGCAACTCCTGCTCCCTGGGGACATGCCAGGATATCGCTCTCACCTGCCGCTTTTGTAAAGTACAAAGCAAGAAGCACCTTTGGACTCTTCTCAGTCTCTCCTGTGCTGCTTGGCAAATTCCACTCTGTAACAATCTCTCCTCCAAGCTCTTTACTCAGTCTGTGCTTTGGAAGTTAGACAGGCTACAGGTAGGAACCAGCAAATTTCTGCTAGGGCAGAGGTTATTACCCAGAACTGGGTAGCAACTACCTACTCACACAGCCTTCAGCCACCGATGGAGAAGCTACTTTGGCAAAGGGAGAAGCACACTCCTACGCCAGCCATAAGGCTAGAGTAGCTCTGAAGTGGCATTTAAAGGGGGGCACTGGGAATGTATTTAAACTCTGAAATTGTCTTTCCTTAGGAAGGATCAATTGCTCATGAGATTTCACTGCAGAAGTGCAATGGCGGCTGACGTAGGAGGGTCTTATGCAAGAATTTGGGCATGTGGTATCTGGCCACTTTTCCTATTTTGCAACTGGCACGTGCAGAGGTGGGCCCTGTGCAGACTACACCCAAGCCGGAGGTCTCGGTGTGCCAGCTCAGGGAAGGTGGCAACAGTGCAAGTGAAGCCATTTCAGCCAGGGAGATTTCCATAGGCCAGGTCAGTGGTTAGAGCTACTCTTGGCATTATTCTCCTGCTCCCGAGCCAAACAACTTCATGTGACTGAGGAACAGCAGGGTCTCTCCAGCACACCGGACAACACTTAGCGACAAAGAGGTCACTCTAGTTTCTCTTTATTAACTTGAGGCTTGGGCATAAGGTCATTTAGCAAGTCCTGTGTCCATCCATACGAGGATAATACTTAGCACCTTTGAAAAGGGCTGAAACATCTTCAGATGAAAAGCAACATGTGGGAAAGCATTAAAGATATTCACCATCTGGATCCCATTTTTCCCTACGGTAAATGTCGATAGGAGAATGCTGCCTAAATCCCGCAGTTTGCCTCTTAAATATGCCTTTATTTTCCCAGTATAAACAACGGCAGTAGCTAAAGCTTAGTTGCTTTACTGTATGTGTCTGCAATTCCAGCAAAGATCCTGGTTGGCTACTACTAGGCAAAGCAACACTGGCACAACTCTGCTAAAACTGTTAATTCTGCTAAGTCGACACGATACCTATTTCAGATTACAAAACGGCGTGTTTTGTAACTAGCCTTGGGGAATTAGCTCCACCAAGCAAAAATGCAATTGCAAGCATCCTGTTGACAGCCACAGAGCTTAGGGTTGGTACAGTCCACCATCTTTCAAAATCATTTGGCTGATTTCAGAGAGCTAGACTTACCCATTGAATGAGCCTGGACTTTAATAAAAGCAGAAGTGAGTGAGGTCTATTTCCTTGTTTTATTCTTTAAGAGCCTTGTTTATACATTCCGGCTGTTCACTGATGTAGGCAGGGGAAGGAGAGTCAGGAACACAAACCAGAAGTGAGACTCCAGACCAGTAATTATAAAACCTCACATGTACTAGCTACATAGCATTGACCAAAATAAGGCTTCAACCACCTGCTATTCTTTAGAGGCGGCATCTCAAGACCAAGCAAAGTGCACGGCTTCAGTTATTCCCAATGACTGGCCAACAGAAAAGAGACAGGAGTTACGGTGGTCAGTTCCAATTCTTGCAGTCATCCCTCATGGCGAATCGTGTTCCCTTGTTGACTGAAGAAACAGGGTGATGGTACAGACAGGAACCTGATACTGACTCAGCTCCACCTCCCACCATCTTGGGAGCAGTTATTGGTTCTGTCACCTCTCTTCTTTCCACATAGGTTTTCTGGACTCACGTGTCAGTAACCGAGGTAACATTCTTAAGATAATTTACACGGGGTAGGCAGAGAACTACACAGCCAAATCTACCTGCTCAGCCTTCAAACCAGTTGCTTCAACCTTAAATACAGCAACTCCGAGAGCTCCCTGGCTGGTGGTCCAGTAGATCACTTCACTAACACGGAGTAACTGAGCTACAGGAACACGCCCAACCATTCTGCTCAGCTAAGAGAGGCGTTTGTATGGTAAATGACCTGCCTGCATCTGTGTCACCCTACTGGACAGAGCTACAATTATGGACTCAGAGAAGTAAACAAAAGATAGTCTCTCTGGCATCAGTTTATCAGGCAGGAGCAGAAACCAAACTGACCATAAGTTAAATGTCTTTAAATCTAATACAAATAGACAATTGATGACACTAGCCAAGAATGAAAATTAATTGATATTTAATACAGTGCAAACCATAGCTTCTTAATTAAAATAGATGTGTGCATGTATCTGAATGGGTTATCAGTTATCACAAATAGCAATGAACACTGCACTGCTATGTAGAAAAAAATGTACAGCTGGATTTTAAGTGCAACTCTCCCATATTTTCAAGGTAGTGTTTATCAATTTCAAATCCATTTCACTAATTAAAAATGGGAACCATGAGTAGGTCAGTGCAGTGATAGAACGGTGATCACAAAGTCAATGAAAATAAATACAGATTGCAAAGAACTAAAAACCTAACGCATTCTTACACCTAAACATGAAGAGCCAAAGATGGCTTAGGACTTTTCCTTTTTAAATGCCTTACAAGACTTCTAGACGCACGTTCAACTGACTGAAAGTGACAGGCTGCATTTCAGACCATTCCGATTAAATACGCCCCAAACCCTAGAAGATGAAAATACAGCAGTGGCATTAGCATAGTCTGGAAGCTGAATGTTGGATTTTGCAAATATATTTTATTTTACAGAAATTCAACATTATCAACTGAAGGCAGCTCTCCCTGACCCCGTTATCTTGCGCAGACCATGCTATGCAGAGTGCAGCAATGCAGCGCCCACTGCTTTGGTTAAAATGAAAGAGATAAAGACATTTTGCTTAATGTTTTCTCCCCAACACACTACACATGCACCTATAACAGGTGGCCAAAGTCCATTTTGTTTTTCCAGCCTGTGGCTACATGTTTCCAGCCCAAGCTTCCAACTCTTTCATGTCATCATCATCTTCTTCTTCCTTCTTCTTGGCTGTAGCACAAAGAGAGTGTTAAGAATTAGCAGCAGATACTTTGATACGCCCCACAATGTCCTGCTGACCCTGGACAGGGAGCTCTGGACTGCACAAGGCACTGGGTCCCATAGAAAAACAAATATGCCACCCGTGGTTTTCAGTTACAAGATGCATGCCCAGGGTGGGGGGGTAGAACTCCACCCCCCCCGCATTGGGCGGGAAGTGAGGGGGCGCTTCAGCCCAGCTGTTCTGGAGCAGCCTCCCCCCCCCCACCTGCCCTCATTTAAGCAATTAACTGATTAAAAAGGATTTTATCTTCCTACTATTTCCAGGACCTCCCCAGCCATGAGGAAACAGACACCAATGTGGTGACTGGACAGGAACCGCCGTACCTTCAAAATAAATACACTAGAACCTGTGCACTGTGTCCAAGGTGTTGCGGTACTATGGCAAGGCAGGGCCTGCAGAGCAGGTCCAGGGAGGAGATCACCACATCCTGGACATCAGCACAAGCAAAGAGGTTTCATGTCCGCTGCATGTCATTAGCTAGGGTGTGTGCTCTAGATCTAGGATGAGGAGCGGTTGTTTGGAACACTTATTTAGTAGCTTTGAACCAAACCCGCGTACATTTAACACTTCTCCCCATTCCAGCCCACGCCGGCCTGGGGAGAAGTGGGAGATGGAAGCAGAGAAACGACAATTCTACCTTCGCAGGGCAGCACAGAGAACACTGGCTTTTCCCTCTCCCTCCCTTCACTGTCTCCTACGAGGTGTTCTACCCTGACACCGAATGGCCAACGAGTTCAGCCGGGCTGAGAGGGGAAGGCCCACCCACTAATAATGAGAGCTGCTCTTAGGCCTTCCCACGGGCTCAGAGCGAGCAACGGCTGTCACAGAAGTGTCCTGTAGGTCTGATGGGGCACTGGGAAGTGCAGTCTGTGGAAGACAGTTAGCAATGTGGTCTGAGTCAGGGCTCAGCAGGGATACGCAGAGAGACAAAAAGGCCCTTATGAAAACCCATCTCCACTAGCTGGTTTTTGGGTGTGGGATCACAATAAGCCTCTGCCAGAGCTTGGCTCCTCTTTCTACCTCATATACACCACTCTGCAGCAGCGTCTTCAGCTCCAGGGAGGACGAGAACCCCCAGGGCTAGACCCAAAGGCAGAACATACGAAAAACTCCACCATAACACAATTAGGCTTGTGTGGAAATTTTCTGCGCACCAATAATGCACCTGTGCCACCAGGATCTGTCCTTAGGATTTGCCTCCCGACCAGCTTTTGCACTAAGGTTTTGCCCAAGACTCAGTTTGATGTTGTCTCATTTGAGCGTCACCCTTGCAAGACCACAAGAGACCCCAGGCACCTTTGGTAGACAAGAGCCAACAGTATTCCCCCAAAACGGGAGGCTACCAAACAGACAGTTTTACTGTGCAGGACCACAGCATCCCAGCACAGAGGTGACAGCACTGAGACCCACTTGCAGGACTAAATTCCAAGGACCATTTCTCACTCGAGTGTCCCTTGATTTTATTGATGTGCTTGGTTTTGTCAGGGTTGCTTCCCATTACATCAACTATCATTAGAGCAAGCCTGCATCTCCTCCTCCTCCATCTCCCTTCTGTGCTGAACCCTGTCTTTAAGACAATATAGTATAAACTGAATTGCAGAAATACATGCTAACCGCTTCTGTTACTGCTACTAATGTTAATAGATCTAATAAAGGCAAGAGGATCCCTTGAGAACACATCGCCCGATTCATGAAGCATTTCCATATTAACTCTGCAAGTTGCTAGTAGCTTGAAAATTCAAAATTCAGCTTCTCATTAAGAGCTGCTGATTTGATGAATGCACATGCTAATGAGCCAAGGTAGCTTTGGCAAAGGCAGACAAGTACCTGGTTTTGATGGTATTGATATTGTGGGCACATTTGGTAGTGGTACTGTCTCAGGACCACTGATCTCCAGCAGGTTTTTGTCTAATTCTTCCTGTTCTAGTACCTCCAATTCTGCCATCAGTTCATCCTAGTATCGTAAAGAGAAAAAGAAGAATGCAGATCACACTTGCCACCAAGTAGCACAAAACACAGAAAGTGTGTCACATCTAGGTGCATTATTACAGGAGACAGCCTAAATGACACCACCACATGACCCCCTCAAACTGTGAGGGCAGACCCTGAATCTTAAACTGATCTAAATGTATGGACACACTTTCCAACGTGAACAGAATTAGCTGATCCGAAAGTCCCCAAAACCTTGGAGGTCCGACATCCCATTGGTTTTGTAGCTGCCACGCACACACCTTTTTCTGAGGGGAAAGAGATGAATTGCTAGGATCAGTTTTGCATCCTAGGACTTGCACTGTGTCTGAATGCACGCAGCACACCGATCACTAAGAGACGGGTTTTAATTTAAAACAGAGCAAATCTTGAGCTGTCTGTTCTGCTGCATCCTTACCTCATCAAAGTCTTCCCCAAATCCTACAGGTTTTGAAATAGCTGTTGAAATTTCATCTGCCAGCTCCTGCTGTTCTGCAATATCCTGCATCAATTCGTCTACTTTGTCGATATCCCTGCAAAGAGACGTGTACAACAGGTGAGGCCATTAACCTGGCTTACTGCTACGGACTGCATTTGCCGATTCAGTGGCAATGCAAATGCCACTCCAGGATGGCATTTCAGGGGCGTGTGATCTCACATATCCAGCCACCACTGAGCTCCTTCTCTCAACTGCTCCATCTCGAGCAATCTCCATTCCCTACTCCCGGCCAACGAATTGCCGCCACTCAACATCTTGCCATTTTTATCCCCTGCAGGACAACAATGATGATTCCTCTAAAGCACAAGCCATTTCTGCTGTGCAGCCTCAGCAGGAGGCAGTGCTCGCTCCCAGCAGATTACCTCCCTAAGGATTCTGTTTGCATCTCAAACTTTTCGCTTTGGCAGAAATTTAGTGCTGGAAGAGGGACAGAGAGCCCTGGAAGGCAACAGCCTTCCATTTACCCTCAGGACAGATAAACATGGCAAGATGGACTGATCCCCAGAATCATCTCTCACAGGTGGCCAAGCAGTCAGTGGCTGGCAACTGCTTTGGGATACTACTACAGATCTAGATCAGCCAGGGTGATGGTCAGGGTGAAAGACTCAGGGTATGTCTACACTACAGCACTAATTTGAACTAACGCATCCAGACTAAAAAACTAGTTCAAATTAGCATTTTGCTAATTCGAACTAGCATGTCCACACAGAGTGGACCCTGAACCGGGGTTAAGAATGGCCGGAAGCAGTGCCGGCAGGGCATCAGAGGAGGACTTAGAGCGTGGAGCTGCTGCCTCAGGCTAGCCAAGGGCTGTGCTTAAAGGGACCCGACCCCCACCCCAGACAGACAGTTCTCAGGGGTGTCGCGCTTGCAAAGCAGTCCTGGCTTGGAGTGCCCTGAGTGCCCACACTGGGCACATCACAGCACTCGGCCATCAGACCGGCTGCACTTGCCGCAGGCTGCCATCTGGGGAGAGGGTGCAATTGGGGGGCTGCAGGAGAGCTTCCACCCCCAGAAGCCCGCAGAGCCAGCCCAGTCCTCCCCATCGGGGGCTCGTACCCCATTCCTCCCTCACCTCCTTCCACTTACCCTTCCCTAGCCCCCCTTCTTATTGATGTACAAAATAAAGATAACGTTTCTTCCAACATTGACTCTGTCTTTATTGAAAAAAACTGGGGGAGACTGGGAAAAGGAGGTGGGAGAGGGGAAGAGAAAGGCTGGGAGAAGGGAGGGCAACTAACATGATCAGGGGTTGGGAACAGGTCCCAGATGAAGAGAGGCTACAGAGACTGGGACTGTTCAGCTTAGAAAAGAGGAGACGGAGGGGGGACAGGATAGAGGTCTCTAAAAGCAGGGGTTGGGTGGAGAGGGTGCATTCAGAAAAGTTCTTCATGAGTTCCCATAAAGAAGGACTAGAGGACACCAAAGGAAAGGAATGGGTAGCAGGCTTCAAACTAGTAAGAGAAAGTTGTTCTTCTTGACAAAGCAAATAGTTAACCGGTGGAACTCCTTGCTGCAGGAGGCTGTGAAGGCTACAACTAGAACAGAGTTGAAAGGGAAGTGAGATCAAGTCATGGAGGTTGGGTCCATGGAGTCCTATTAGCCAGAGGGTAGGAGTGGTGTCCCTGCCCAAAGTTTGTGGAAGGCTGGAGAGGGATGGCACGAGACAAATGGCTTGGTCACTGTCTTCGGTCCATCCCCTCCAGGGTCCCTAGGGTTGGCCGCTGTCGGCAGACAGGCTACTGGGCTAGATGGACCTTTGGTCTGACCCAGTACGGCCATTGTAAGCTCAGGGCTCAGTGTCGGGGGTCTCAGTGGACCCCCTTGATTTTCATGCACACCTGCTCCTGGGTGGCCAGGCTGGCAGCTCTCCTGCCCTAGACGGCCACTTTCCTGTGCCTAGTGCAGAGATCGTGGAC